GAAATGACACTGTGTAGATCACTTGCGTGGCGCGAATCTGCGCCCTGGTGTGCCAACTATTACCACGGCTTTGGAATTTGGCCTAAATGCACAAATGTGTTTTCTGATCCAATAGCTTTACGTCAAATTACATGAAAGCTGGAAGAATTAAGGTCTGGACTGCCCGTCACCTACAGCCCGCAGAATCGGTCATATGGCTGGGATTTAATTCAAATTATCTGATCCAACGACAACACCTTGCACCCGGTGGTATCTTAGGGGTACTCAAACTTAATCCGAAAGCCCATGTTAGTGTCACATAACGGTGACAATTGCAAATAGCATTAGTAAAAACTGGCATTGTACTCCCCATCTTTTTAACCACAAGCTTAAAGATAAGTGTTCACTTAAATAGGTAAATCACATTCCTTCCAATCTTTATAGTCAGACCTTTGTCAAATATTCAGAAAAATATCCAACTCTATTTATGCAGGATGATTTTTTCAAAAATGGACATTATTCCTAAATATAACATCAAACTCCCTGTAGATAACATACAATCGGATTATGCAAATGCTTTCTACCGTAACGAGTCAACGTGTATGATTTACAAAAACCCAGTTTGCTATACATACACGATCAATGCGCAATGCATCTTTAACGTTGTTTCAGAGTATTTTTTTGATTGAAGCCTGCAGCCATCTAACTGTTTCTTGATTTATTGCCATCAAACTTTTGGTTATGTAATTTTCTTTGTAAAACAAACATATTTTCCGGGGCTTGCAGAGTCGTAAAGGTATGATTAACCAGTAACGGCGATATAAATTACCCAATCACTGCAGATAATTCACTAGGGATTCCTTCAAAACACCAAACGTTTGCGAAAAATGTTATACTATTACTGATACTTTGCAATTTAAATATTTTTGCTCAGACAGCAGCTGTCATTCAACTAAATTTACATAATAAATATACTCTACTAATCTATGCATTTTTATCCTCTTCAGAAGGAAGTACTAAATTGGCCTAAAATATACTTACAAATCTGTGCCAGTTAGGTATGCATTAAAACATAGTTTCATACGAATGTTCCAGTCTACAAAATATTTTCCAGTTTTCTATAATTTCATAATGATCCAATTAGTTTATATCCCATGTATTATGAATTAAGTGTTCCTTGGAAACTTTCATGGTAATGTTTATTCCCATTCTTAGTGTTTATTTCAAAACGCCAGCAAACTGACATTGTTTACGTAATATCTAAAACTTTAAATCCAGGTCAGTTTCTTTTTTCACATCGTCAGCGCATATTAACTGTTTTTCTATTAAGGAAGTTGCAGGTAACATATATTTGCATACTGCCTGATACATTTTAAGGTCGCACTGATTATCAATCTATTTACAAAGTTCTTAAACTTTCATAGAAATCACATTTTCTGAAGAAATAATTTGGAATTAAGAAAGCTATTTACTTATAAAAACTGCAATTGAAATCATGTGCAAATTGTGCGCCTGGTTGCCTAAGACATGGTTTCTGTTTTTTGCCCAATACCAAACATATGGAAGTTGAGAATTTAAATACCCACCTTGATTAGATATCTTTCCTTTTAAAATGCTTAAGCTGCATGTCTCGCAAAACTTGTAAAGTAAGAGGGCCAAAATCAAATAAGGTAAAGTAATATTTCCAAGGAAATATTAAACAGTGTAGGGTTTATATTTTAATTTGTAAGAATGTGTTCG